TCCTCCTCTTCCCTCCTCCATTCCTTCTCCTTATAGATGACTCCTCCCTGTCGCACCACGAGGCCAGTTTTGAAGGCGGGCCGGGCGTTTTGCCTGCTTAAAAAGTGGCAACAGCTTCCCCGATGGAGGGCAGGTCGTTTTCAAAATGTGGCTCTCGCCTTAGCGCCGCGCATATTCGTTCTCAAAACTTACAAGAGCTTAACGGATTGAGGGCGGTTCCTTTTCAAAATGTGGCTCTCGCATAAGCGCCGCGCACAACCGTTTTTCTTAATGTGCAAGAATTCTATGGCTTTCCATGATCAACGTGCCAGAAATGGTGTCCGGGAAGGATTCTGGATTATGCGGGCGCATCAATTATGTTGGTTCGCTGTGTTGAAATCCCATGAATGGCATTATAGCACGATTCTTCTGGATGGTCCAGACGCAGCAGTCAGGTTGATACTTGGCGTTGAAATCCCGAGAACATTTATTGGCACGCTTCAGGATCTTCAAACTGTTGTCTTCCAACGAGGCAGTTCCCTCAATGGAGATGAACATTGTAGAGGCCTATGGAGAGGGAACTGGGAGAGAGGGTTCATTCAAACATCGTTGATCACTCTTGGGTTTCCACTGGTCCTCCTCTTCCTCCTCCTCCTCCTCCTCCTCCTCCTCCTCCTCCTCCTGCTCTCCTCCTCCTCCTCCTCCTCCTCCTCCTCCTCCTCCTCCTTCCTCTCCTCCTCTTCCTCCCTCTCCTCCTCTTCCTCATCATCCTCCTCCTCCACCTCATCCTCTCCTCCTCATCCTCCCTCCTCCTCCCCCTCCTCCCTTCCCCTCCCCCTCCCCCTCCTTCTCTCCTCCTCCTCCTCCTGCTCTCCTCCTCATCATCATTACATTATCATCATCATCATCATCATCCTCATCATCATCACCACCACCACCATCATCATCAGCATCATCATCATCCTGCTCCCGCTCCTCCTGCTCCTGCTCCGGCTCCTCCTCCTCCTCCTCCTCCTCCTCCTCCTCCTCCTCCTCCTCCTCCTCCTCCTCCTCCTCCATTCCTTCCCCTTATAGGTAACCCCTCCCTGTCTCACCCCGAAGCCAGTTTTTAGGACAAGCGGGGCGTTTCGCCTGAGACTTCCTCACCAGTAATGCTTCTGAAGCTCAAAAATTGAAAATGGTTTCACAGATGGAGGGCGGGTCGTTTTCAAAATGTGGCTCTCGCCTTAATGCCGCGCACATTCGTTTTATAACTTTGCAAGAGTTTCACGTATTGAGGGTGGGTCGATTTCAACATGTGGCTCTCGCCTGAGCGCCGCACACATTCGTTTTAATTTGCAAGAGCTTCACGGATTGGCGGGTCGTTTTCTAAATGTGGTTCTCGCCTGAGCGCCGCGCATATTCATTTCAAAAACTGCAAGAGTTTCACGGATTGAGGGCGGGTCGTTTTCAAAATGTGGCTCTCGCCTTAGCGCCGCGCACAATCGTTTCAATACTTTGCAAGAACTTCACGGATTTCCATGAACAGCGCACCAGAAATGGTGTCCGGGAAAGATTCTGGATTATGCGGGCGCAACAAGTATGTATATTCGCTGCGTCGAAGTCTCAAATATCGCGTTCTAGCACGATTCTGGATGGTCAAGACGCAACAGTCAGGTTGATACTTGGCGTTGGAATCCCGAGAACAATGTTTTGACACGCTTCTGGATCTTCAAACGGTTGTCGTCCAACGAGGCAGTTCCCTCAATGGAAAATGATGCCGGAGAAAAACCCAATCATAACATTTTTAGGGCTTTAGGGCTACTATCAGGCTATAGGGCTAGAAGGCTATAAGGCTATAGGGCTACAGGGCTACAGGGCCACAGGGCTATAGGGCTATTGGGCTATAGGGTTATGGGGCTGTAGGGCTATAGGGCTATAGGGCTATAGGGTTATAAGGCTATAAGGCTATAGGGCTATTAGGGCTATAGGGCTACAAAGCTATAGGGCTACAGGGCTATATAGAGCTACCGGACACCTGGGCACCCGGGCACCTGGGCACCCAAGCACCCGGGCACACAAGCACCAAGGCACCCGGGCACCCGGGCACCCCGGCACCCAGGCACCCGGGCACCCGGGCACCCCCGGGCACCCCCGGGCAACCCGGCACCCAGGCGTGCAGCGAAAATCGGCGGCAAACCTAACCTAACCATATGAATCCGCTAGGACCCCAACAGAGGCAAGCGCTGATTGGGGAAAAACCATTGTAGGGGCATATGATGAGGGAGCTTGAGGGGAGGGTTAATTCCAACATCGTTGATGACTCTTGAGTTTCTATTGGTCCTCCTCCTCCTCCTCCTCCTCCTCGTCCTCCTCCTCCTCCTCCTCCTCCTCCTCCTCCTCCTCCTCTTCCTCCTCCTCCTCCTCCTCCTCCTTCTCAACCTCCTCCATCCTCCTTCTCCTCCTCCTCCCCCTCCCCCTCCCCACCCCCCCTCCCCCCTCCTTCCCCCTCCCCTCCCCTCCCCCTCCCCCTCCCCTCCAC